AAGAGCTTGTAACACTCCAAAGAGAAAAGAAAACTTGAAATCGCATCATATGACCCCTTAAAGAAATTTCTTAAGATAAATTTTCATAAGAAAGTTTGTAAGAATGTTCCTAAGTGCAATTCTTGAAAAAAACAAGAATATATGCTGAATGCTTCTGAAAATAATATTGTAATTATAAAATTAAAAAATGAGGTCCCTATTTGACTTTTGTGGAGTTGTTACTGAATTTCTAACTCAGCAAAAAGTCAAGTCATGCATAATTTTGAATACGAAAACTTTTTTTTTTTAAATATGTATTACATTTTTTGCATTATTTGAATGAAATTTCCTTGTACACATAAACTGTCACGGTTCACTACTGTGAGGAGCTTGGAGATGAAGGAGCGAGGAGACGGGGAGTGGAATTCAAACATATAGATTTTAATCACATCCAGGGAACAAGGAAAACACACGTAGCAAGGGTAGACATATACAGACATTCATAATACCGGACGCCGAACTAGTAACATGGAACACTATTTATACAAATGACATGACGATGGGATGACGAGACACACCTGGGATCAATAGAACTGAGAAGGGGACACCTGGAACAAAATAAGGACAGGAACGGGAAGGACCAAATATGAGCATTGAAACACATGGGGAGCAAAACACACACAAAACATGGAACAGCGTCTGACATTACTCCCCAGCCTCCAAGGGTGGGCACCCTGGAGGCTGGTGCAGGAATGGGACACGGGGAATACCTCCAGGGCGGATCAGACAGTCCAGGGTGCCAGGGCGGCACAGGGAGCTCAGGGGCCATGGTGGAGCAGGGAGCTCGGGGCGCCATGGCGGAGCAGGCAGTTCAGGAAGCCATGGCGGAGCAGATAGTTCAGGAGGCCATGGCTGGACGGCCTCCGTGGCCTTGGCCTCGTCGCTCGGCCAGGCCACAACAGACGGACCCATACTACCCCAAAAAATCCTTGGAGAGAATATTGTCTTTAGAGGCCCGCCGTAGGCCTAACTCGGGAACTGTGGCCCTCCCTGGGCTTGACTTGGGGACTGGAGCCCTCCTTGGGCTGGACATGGGAACTGAAGCCCTTTCTGTGATAGACACGGGGACTGGAACGTTCTCTGGGCTAAACTCGGGGACTGGAGCCCTTTCTGTGCTAGACATGGGGACTGAAACCTTCTCTGGGCTAAACTCGGGGACTGGAGCCCTCACTGGGCTAGACTCGGGGACTGGAACCCTCTCTGGGCTAAACTCGGGGACTGGAGCCCTCTGTGGGCTAAACTCGGGGACTGGAGCCTTCTCTGGGCTAAACACGGGAACAGGAGCCCTCCGTGGGCTAAACTCAGGAACAGGAGCCCTCCGTGGGCTAAACTCGGGAACAGGAGCCCTCCTTGGGCATGATTCGGGGGCTGGAGCCCACACTGGAGCGAGCTCTGGAGTGAGCTGCGGCCGGCAGGCTTGACTGAGGAACGCCCGGCGGACTTGACTTAGGAGCGGCCAGCGGAGGGGTTCCGGATCAGGATCGGAGGCTCTCCAGACACCGGATGACCGCCTCCTTCCAGTCGAGGTTGGTGGTGTCTGGGAGTTCCGCGGGGCGTTGATATGTGATCCCGAGCCGGAACAGGGTCTCCCCATCGAGGGAGCTGGCGAGGGCAAGCGGCACGAATGCCCTCGCGTAGGTGATCGGGTCATGGCTCGCCTGAGCCACGGCGATGAACATCGCTCGTTCCTCCATTAAAGCGGGGAGAAACAAACAGGAAAACAAAACACTTTTCAAAAACGATAAACAAACATGGGGAGAAGGGGCGCCGCTTACTGTCACAGTCCGGTATTCTGTCACGATTCGCTACTGTGAGGAGCGAGATGAAGGAGCGAGGAGCCGAGGAGTGGAATTTAAACATATAGATTTTAATCACATCCAGGGAACAAGGAAAACACACGTAGCAAGGGTAGACATATACAGACATTCACAATACCGGACACCGAACTGATAACATGGAACACTATTTATACAAATGACATGATGATGGGATGACGAGACACACCTGGTATCAATAGAACTGAAAAGGGGACACCTGGAACAAATAAGGACAGGAACGGGAAGGACCAAATATGGGCATGGAACAGAGTCTGACACCTCTTATATGTCAAAAGATCAAGGGAATTTTGATTTCTCAGTTCATGACCCCTTTAACTACAGATGATCCATTGGTGAACAAGTGATATAAAGCTAAATTTCTCCAATCTGTTCTGATGAAGAAACAAACTCATGAACATCCTGGATGGCCTGAGTACATTTTCAACAAACTTAAATTTTTGGGAGAACTATTACTTAGTAGTTTGGCATAATCTTTATTCTAAAAAAATCTTACAATACAATACTGCTTATTTTATTAATATTTTATCAACTTTTGTCAGCCAAATCAAGTAATTTATGAACATTTATCAGCTCGTTTACTCCTAAACCTGAAAGAATATAACGGTCAAGGTTGTCACGCCTATTGACTGTTTGTCTTGAAATCTCACTCCCTCCCTTGTGTCATGGCCAACTCCTTCTGATTTTTCAACAGCTATGTTTTACAGAGTAACATTAAGGGAACATTTTTTTAACACAATGACTAAGGATTAATTTTATATCTTTTCATAGTGTTAAATCAATTAAATTAACCCTCAGCAGTCTATTATAGCCTACCTGCACAGAGCTATCCATAAGCATTCCCATTCACTTTAATGGTAGTTGATCTGCAGGTGGAATGCTTCAGCCCTGGATGTACACAAACTGGATACTGTCATCTTTGCTTCAGTGGCTCTCAGTTCCAGAAGCTCTCCAAAAACCTGGAAATGGTAAAACATCTACTAAAACTTCTGTTACTTTCATCCAACTAGTTCAAATTTGTATTTGTATTTCTAAGTACATGAGATCAACAATATAATGTAAGTAATATCGACGGATTCATTTTAGATATCTGAAACTAAACACAAAGTGACGACAAGCTATCGAATCTGAATACAATATTAAATGTCACTTCCACAGACTATACTGACAAATCTATTATATTTACAAAATCCAAGTTGTGAAAACATACAAAAATAGCCTACCTCTCAAAGAAAATAACGTCACAATCAGACGATCATACATAAAACCAAGCCCTGCTATGTCCCTGTCGAACCAGCTAGTCAAACTTTCATTATTAGTCTGTAATTATCGACTTTATAGAATTACATGCATCCAAATAAATACCTCACCCGTGAAAGCGTTTCTTTCCCTTTCTCCCCTTGCCCGTATGTTGCGACTAAACCCGCGAGTTTCACTTCATCATTGACATCACATGGCGTAAGGAATGAGTCAGTACTTGTTGGACACTCTGTTGTAATAGAGGAATATTTATCATGACATTTTTACACACATTATTTTCTCACTTGGAAACTTGATGTGGATCCATTAACGTCAAGCATTGGTCTCTGCAGCAAAGGAGTGCTGAGCGTGTCAAAAGTTACCGCAGTGGGGTTACTCCAGTTTGCCGAGTATGAAGATTGGCAGGGGAAAATAAATAAATAAGCGTCATGCTTTTGGTTTAAGATCCTCTCAGCAGTGGCGCAAAACAGGGTATGCATGCAGTATAGACGGTTTCATCGGGCGCACGCACCTGGCCCGAAGTTAACTTCCGGTATGTGTTTGTTTATCAGTCTGGCTATGGCGCCGGCTACAAATGCAGTTAAAGTTAAGGTGAATAGACTACGAGGCTGAATTCAGCTTCTTATTCGCAGCTTCTTATTGACGCTAGCCGTTCCACCTTAAAAACGCGACGCTTCCGCATTTCTTAGCTTCTTATTCCGTCTCTATTTGTGTCTCTTTTTCAGAAACGAACAATAAACTATTTTAAAATGTAAATAACACTAAGATAAGAGTGGAAACGGGCTATCAACATTAAATCTAATTACATTATACGGTAATTATTGAACGTGCATGTCATCCTTTGAGTGCAGTAATGAATATATTTTTTTATTTAGCCTCTTATGAAGAGTTCATATGACCCAGCACCTGTGAATTGAGGACTCCAGATACAAAATCATGACATTTTCATTGCTTTAAAATGCACACAAAGTTTGCTTAAATGCATATATGGTATTTGTAAATACTATAATTTTTACTAGACTTCAACTGTTCTTTCTGATACCCACTCCTATAAAGACTATATATATATATATCAGACATGTTTACTGTACCATTTAGAAGATGGACCTATATATATATGACATATGTAATTATACAGTTGAATAGGCCATTGCACTGATTGCCCAATTGGAGGCGCAAAATCTCAGCTGTCCTTGAGGGTGCGTTAAAAGTTTCATTAGAGGCTTTAATGTCTGAAAAGATTCAGACATCTTTATGGTACCATTTTGAAATTATGGACCTATACATTTTACATATATGACAATATAGACTTGAGCTATTGCATTCATGACATTTTTAAGCATTTTTAAGTTATGGACCCATTGCATTGAAATTGCATTATTGGCTCAATTGGTGGCAGACCGATGAGCTTTGTAAAAATCGACGCGTTTCAAAAAGGCGGGGCATAGAGGAGAAACAATAATGTACAGTATGTGGAGAATAATGTGTTTTTTTAACCTTAAACCGCATAAACACATTTCATTACACCAAATACACAAAATAATGTTCTTTTTAGCAGCATCATATGACCCCTTTAAAGAAGTCTCTTCTGATCACCAAGCCTGCATTTATTTGATCCAAAATACAGCAAAAACAGCAATATTGTGAAATATTTTTATTATTTAAAATGACTGCTTTCTATTTGAATATATTTTAAAATGTAATTGATTGCTGTGATCAAAGCTGAATTTTTAGCATCATTACTCCAGTCTTCAGTGTCACATAATCCTTCAGAAAGCATTCTAATATGCTGATTTGCTACTCAAGAAACATTTCTGATTATTATTATTATATTATGTTGAAAACAGATTAGATTCTTTTCAGGTTTCTTTGATGGATAGAAAGTTCAGAAGAACAGCATTTATCTGAAATAGAAATATTTTGTAACATTATAAATGTCTTTATCATCAATTTTGATGAATTTAAAGTATCCTTGCTAAATAAAATCCTTGCCCCCAGGTGGACACAGTTCTGTTCATAACAAGTAGACCTTCTGGTGAAGAAGTCACAGGTAAGAAAGAAAAAGGGAGAGACAGAGATATTGGGGAAAATGAAGAAAAGGAAAAGGGAAGTGAAGGTGCAGTGCAATAGAGAACCTTTAATTATTTTCCACGGCCTTAGACTAAGGATTTAGACCTTTTTATGTGATGGTCATACAAATAATAGGGTTGTCTGTGATTTCAGAAATTGTTGTGGACGTATAGGCTATATTCAGAAAAAAGGGGCCAAAATTGTACATTTTGGGGTACAGCAGCTTGACACTGTAGCAGTACTCTTAAAAGGACACATTTGTTCCTTTTTTACCCCTAATAGGTAGGCCTACAAATTAGTACTTTAAGGGTACGAATTACTACTCTAAGATACTAATATGTTCCTATTAGGGGTAAAAAAGGTACAAATATGTCCTTTTAAGAGTACTGCTACAGTGTCAAGCTGCTGTACCCCAAAATGTACAATTTTGGCCCCTTTTTTTCTGTGTGGCCTGGATGAGTGTGAGATTTCCCGGCCTGAAATTGTGTCCCAGTCCGGCCCTGATTAAAGTCATTACACTGGTTACCTGTTAGTTTTCGTATTGATTTAAAAAATCGTTTATTAGTTTATAAGGCATTGACTTGCTCCAGACTATCTTTCAAAAATGCTCACAGTATATGAACCTAGAAGGACTCTTAGATCCTCTGATTCTTTTCTTCTAACTGTACCTCATAGCTGAACTAAAAAATTTGGTGATGCTGCTTTTAGCCGTTATGCTCCTCGCCTCTGGAACAACCTTCCAGAGAACATAAGATGTGCTGAAAACATTAATAGTTTTAAATCTAAATTAAAAAACATATATTTTTAGTCTGGCCTTTCTGTAAAGACTCTGTATATTTCATGTGTTTTGTTTTGCCTGATTTTTAATGTTTTATTTTATGTTTCATATTTTAATCTTTATAAACTTTATTCTTATTTGTGTATTTTAATGGGTCTATTTTATTTTTGTTTTAATTCTGTTCATTTTAATTTTTATTAATTGCTGTATCATTTTGGTTCCTTCTTGTCTGTAAAGCACTTTGAATTGCATTAACTTGTTTAGAAAAGTGCTATATAAATAAAATTTGCTTGATGCTTTAGACCGTGGACCTCTGTGAGTCACTGTGAGCTTGTCATCTGACTACCACCCTAAGACAAATAGAGCAGAAGATCCAGGAGCTGTCCATGGAGCAGAAGATCCAAGCTGTCGGACATTCCAGCTGTGGACCACTGGTTCCAGGAGAGCGAAAGGGTTTGGGACTCATATCTGCAAACATACATCAGCAGAGGGCAGTTCAGAGGCAGAAGAGCCAGGCCGATGCAAGGAGAGCTGCGACACGCATCTACCATCAAGGGCAGAAGGTCTGGCTCTTCACCAGGGGCATTCGCCTTCCATTGCCCAGTCGCAAGCTGAGTCCAGTTATAGGTCCTGAGTTATAGGTCCATTCACCATCCAGGGACTTGACTCGCTGGCACTCGTTCCAGCTCACCAGAGTTCTGATTGCTTCCACCTGATCACCTCATTAACTCACCTATATAAACTCTCACTCCACCACAGTACTTTGTCTGGTCTTGCTATTCACTACGGACTACTTACCTTCACTCCTCGCCTTACCGTTACTCGTTGCTTCATGTTTGCTGTTTTTGGTTCTCCTTCAGTCTGCCTAGCTCTGGATCCATCTACCACCTGCAAAGATAAGAACTGTTACTCATGCTTACATTTGCTTACTGGCTCTGTTTATTCTTCATCTGCAAGTTACTAACCTAGGCATCTGGAATATTGTCAATTAACAAGCATTACCGCTATTTCCTTGTCTTCTCATCTGTGTGCTGACATATACACAACATGTGCTGGAAATGTTCAAAAAGTATTGATACACACACTGAAATCATTTCACCAAGTTTTATGTCGAAAACCAACAAATTAAATTAGCAGCACTATGCACTTTTTGTTTGCTTAAACATTGCAATAAAATGAAAAACGATGGCCGGATTTTAAAGTAACAAAAAATATTTATAACGTTATCTACTGACATGTACTACATGTTCAAATGGAGTTTTGACCAAAAACAGTTTTATAAAATGATAAATCTCACATTTCAGTCTATTATTTTTTTTTTAGGAAAGGGATGAGGCAGAATGATAACAGGGCTGTCAAACTGATTTATCACACACATAGGCTGTATGTATGTATGTGTATATATATTTACGAAATATTTTCATGTAAATATATATTCTCATTTAAATATGATTTCTATTATATATAAATATATATATTACGTACATTTCTTAAATATATACATGTGTGTATTTATATATACATTTAAATATACACACATTATATTATGTAAACACAAACTTTTATTTTAGATGGGATTAATCGATTTGACGGACCTAAATGATAAATTTTAGTTCATCTGCCTAAAAAAATAGTAGGCTAAATTGTGTGCACGATTTACTAATTCATTCCCTCGATTTGCTAAATCAAGCACACGATTAATAAATCAAGAGAACGAATTAGTAAATTGTGCGCACGATTTAGCAAATCGAGGGAACGAAATGGTAATCATGTGCACAATTTATTTATTTTTTCTTGCATGTCACGTGCGGGGCTCCGTACTCCATAAACAATTCTACATAAAGTAATATGCATTCTAAAAATCTCAACACTTCGGATAACAAGGTAGCTTATTTTCCCTCTGCCGGTTTGGGTTTACAACAAAAATTTTCGCATTGGTTTGAACAAAAACGGCAGACAGTCTGAATGAAAATCTACTGTATGACAGCAGGTGGCGCATATAGAACAGCAGAAATAGAGCTGTTTCCCGGTAACCGCTGTAAACAAAGCAGCGCTTCACTTGGAAGACAAGCAAATGTCATCTTAAATTTTCTGAAGACAGCTGCTTCCCTATTATGCATTCAAACAATGAATTCAATCATACATTCTTTCATATAATTTCTCTCAGCAGTCTGCCTTCAGTCATGTTTTCACACAAAACAAAATAATTAAAAGAACTAAATTAAATATTAAAATATTTTCTAACAAACAAGATTATAATTAACCGAGTGAATTCCTCAAAAAACAAAACAAACAAACAAAAAAAAAAGGATAAATAACATTTTGGCTAATTGCCCTTTAGGTTGGATTGGTTCCTAACTCCGGTGTAGTACTCTGGGCGGGATGACCAGCTTTGAGCCCACACTGAAGGCTGTTATAGTCTGCTCCACTGAATTCTTGAATGCCTGTACTACTGTATTTGGGTGAGGCTCTCCGTTTACCCCAGGAAAGGACTTGAAGTTGGATGTAGGGTGTAACAACTCTTGGCAGGATGATGAGCAATAATCCTACAGCTTGGTTTGTGCATAGAATCAATGGCCTTCTGAGAAATGTGGTCAATGCTACCA